TGAAAAAGCGTGGTGATATTGGAAGGCCATAAACGATTTCAAAGATCACCATAATATAATGTAATGTGCTAATATAAAACAAATCTCACATTTTTATTCTCATAGATCATACGCATAAGAGAATATAGGCGATATCAGAAAAGTGGAACCAATTGGTGAACAAACATACTATCTAAGACGATACAATTATATTGCAGCGGCTAACGATGATACATTTCAATGGAGTTTGAAAAAAGTCTTGATAAATTGTGAAACGTAGTTATTAAGCATACACATGCATTTTTGAGGAGGACTAGAAGAAACTAGCCATTCTATGTGGATACAAACGACGTCGAACTATGACCTAGATCCAAACTGCGATATTGGAACTAACAACTGACTTTAATACTTTCAAACGCAGTAATTAAAATAAAAAAGGAGGTGGCTAGGCATGAAGATAAAGATCTTAACATCTAGGGAATTACTACTGAAACATCGGATACTTAAAAGCTTCCAAAAAAGAAAAAAAATCAACCAAAAGACTTTTTCAAGAAATCTCTAGTTTCTTCCCTTCCCCCGTAGGTTTTAATCTTGATGTCTAGCATCTTTAATCATACGAGTAAATATATTCGTCGTAAACAATCATCTAATGAATGAATAACAGAGAAATAAAGAGGATAAGTGAAATCTCCAGTAAAAAAAGAAAATACAACCTACTGCATTAGACGCATTAGACAGTGGTGATGCTTCCCTCATTCGAATATAAATTTGAAAAGAGAAATGGACCGAAAAGAGAAGAATGAATCCATAACACCTTGGACTATACAAATAATCGCCTTACTTCTCGAGACTCTCACGCAAAGCAACCCACGATTATGAGATTAGATGGCACTCTGCGAAATTGACTCACTAGGACCATAAGAGTTTCAATGATACATTTAAAGAATATTGGATTTCTAAGACTGACTGAAAGTCAAAAAGTCAGAAAAGATTTGTTAACATTTGACAGTTGACAAAGAAAATGCGTCATTGACGTGAATACCGCTATTAATCATCAACAGAGCACGAACTCGTGTTAGA